CCAAATATTTTATTGCTAACTAAGGCAGTTTGACTCCATTTTACAACCTATTTTGCCCCAGTTGTTAGATGAATCAAATTTGAAATTTAATAAAATTTGTATGCCGCCCACTCCCTTGGGACTCTGGGGGGCTTACAGACAAGATAAAAAGCATTTAAAAAATTAAAGGTAAAAATAACAGTTGTTAAAATTACATACCATCCATTCTGTCTAAGTGGGGCTGGACATTGATCAACAGCCCCAGGCCTGCCGGAACAGCCAGGTCTTGGTGGCTTTTCGGAAGGCCGGGAGAGTGGTGAGGGTCTGGATCTCTATGGGTAGATCGTTCCATAGGGCCGGTGCAGCTACAGAGAAGGCCCTCCCCCGGGGGGCCGCCGGCCGGCATTGTCTGGTCGATGGCACCCAGAGGAGGCCCAACTTGTGAGATCTTGTTGGTCGTTGGGAGGTATGTGGCAGGAGGCGGTCTCTCAGGTAGCCAGGTCCTAAAACCATGTAGGGCTTTAAAAGTAATGACTAGCACCTTGAAGCGCGTTCTGAGACCAATAGGGAGCCAGTGCAGCTCGCAGAGGATGGGTGTAACATGGGTGTATCTAGGTACACCCAGTATCACTCATGCGGCTGCATTCTGGACCAATTGTAGTCTTCGAACACTCTTCAGGGGCAGCCCCATGTAGAGCGCATTACAGTAATCCAGCCTTGTGGTGACGAGGGCATGAGTGACCATTCAAAGTGCCTCCCGATCCAGGTAGGGCCACAACTGGTGCACCAGGCGAACCTGGGCAAAAGCCCCCTTGGTCACAGCTGACAGATGGTGTTCTAACGTTAGCTGCGGGTCCAGGAGGACACCCAAATTGCGGGCCCTCTCTGAGGGGTGTATGATTTCACCCCCCAGGCTAAAAGGTGGAATGTCTGGACTATCCTTGGGAATCACTGTAATTGTTAAGCGAACTGTGCAATCATTCTGAGAATCTGATTTCTCCTATTGACTTGGCATGGCTGGAAAAATTACAAATGGGGTCACATGATCCCGGGACAATACAAGGGTTATAAATACATGCCAGTTGCCAGGCACCCTAATTTTGATCACATGACCATGGGCATGCTCCAGTGGTCTTAAGTATCAAAAATGGTCATAAGTCACTTTTTTCAGTGCTTCAAATGGTCACTAAACAAATAGCTGTAAATTGAGGTCTACCTGTATATTGATTCTAAATTTTGGGGATTTCATTGCTCCCCTTTTGTTAAACTTGAGGCATCCTTGGTAGTAGAGGCACAGTTTTCTCACCATATGCATCCACTAATTGGGGAATAGGTATTATATTTTCTTGTGGTAACTAAATACAAGAAAAAAATTCCACCCACCCGTCTCTTTCTTCCCTCAGATTTGATTGGGTACATCGAAGGGCGCAAAGGTTGTCCTAATTACACTTGGTGGTTATGCTTTGGGGAAGAATGGCCTGACTCCAATTGTGTCTGGAAGAAAAAACTGATCATTGTACAAGTAAGTTCTTGTCGTACAGTTTGTTAGATGTACAGTATATATGTTCATTTTCCCAGTATGCTTTTCTCATTCTCCTTGTCTCCCAAGGAAATATTTTTATGTGCAGCTGTAAAATAAATTGGACACGTAAACCCAAAATGATGTGACATAAACCACATTTCCTATAATTTAATTTAAAAGTAGCAGACTTCAGTAGTAAGAGCTAGGAAATATTCTGTGCTGGGAATTGCATTTAGCACCTCCACCTTGGCAAATTAACACACTTTTTAGCCAAAATTTAACTATTAACGGTTTTCGTTATGATGGTTCAAATGATTGTGATTGTTGTTTGCTGGATTGAGCACTTGATAAATATAAAGGACACGAACAGAATAAATAAATAAAACCTGTGCAATTGAAATTGATTTAGAGATATGCTTTCCAATAAGCAAAGATATCACTTCAGAGTTTTTGTTTTTGCCAATATTAGTTCTACAGTGAAAATGTTTTCTCTCGTCATCTGAGCAGGAAGAAAACAACTGTTTCTGTATGTGGCTATTTACTGCTTACTATCAACTGATTCAATGATCTGATTCACACATTGTAATTATGTATCTGCGTTGATTCTTAGCAACCACGTAAATTGTCTTCACATATTTCATATACTGAGGTATAATTTCTTCACCCATAGCCTAAGAAGTGCAAGATGGCTTGATTTACACAACACAGTAGACATGTACTGTATATAAACCCCAAATCTCCTTTTCCATTCTGCCCTTAATGCTCATGACAAGTTTTGTTAGGATGGAAGAAGCAGGTCTGACTTTTTCTCAGCTATAAGCAAAACTGTGAAAGAGAAAGGATTCTCTTTGTAAGGATAAATTAAAACAAGTTTCAGAAAAGATTGTTGCTTTCCAAATGTTTCCAAAACAGCCCTGTTCTTTTGGCTGCTAATGAAGAAGCCTTTCTTTAAATCTCTCCTCTTTTTCATGTTATTCATTCCTACATTCTGATTGGGAATTTTCCCTCTCCTCTTGGTTACTTATTTATGAATCCCTTCTATCTTTCTAAGGAAATCCAAAAGTAAACAAAATTTCTTCAAAGACCACAACAGTTGTTGCATAGATCTAAACGGGGAAGTAAACAGGGTGGTGACCCAGTAGCCTTCTGAATGTTGACAATCTCCCATCCTTGAGCATTAACTGTTTGGTTGGGATTGAAGCAAACTGAAAAACAGATTCTAGCAAGCCAAAAATTCCCCATTCTTCAAGGCACAAAAGTCACAGAAGCTGGACTTTTAGAGTAGCTACATCCAGACATATTAAAGCAGAATATATTTCTAATTCATGGCTTAATATGCTACCCAAATACAACAATTCTAACCTATAGTTTACTGGCTACCACAGAAGTTTATGCCTTGTTAGTTTGCCAAGGATTTTACATTTAATATTTTCTCCTGTCACATTAAAATTTAGAATCCAAATGTTTACGTTCAGAAAACAATGTAACATTTCTGAAACAGTGCCTTTGGGGAATCTCTGAAGGGCTTACCCAAAGGTTGGAGGGCCACATACGGCACATAATTAAACTAGAATGTTGTATGACACTAATTCCTTTTGACTTATTCAGCAAGCCATGGTTCAACGTGTGCACATCAAGATGAGATTTCACACTGCAGATTTCAGAAATAACCACCTTTATGATTTAGTAGAGATGAACAAAATTTTAATAATTGATTATAAGCAGCAGTTTTATGTTCTCTCTCTCTCCCACTCTCCCCTCCCTTCTCCCACTTTTATACCTAGGTAATTCCTAAGATTTTAGAAACTCTTTGTGAACTGGGCAAAAGTCATGGGGCATCATCATTAAATGGTAATGAACCAGACTTAAGGATTTCAGATTCTCTAGAACATCAACAACTTTTGCAACAGCTGCGAAAATGGGAAGAAAAAATGGATACAGTTTAGAAACTAGTTATACTGCACTGTACCAGGTGTTCACCGGTATTCAACTACTTTTGAATTCTTCTATTCTAAAGCAGAATGACATTTTGTCTTTCCTGTGAAAAGGTGAAAACCGAGAACTGAAATGTGGCCTGGAATTCTGTTGGACTTTTTGCATTAATATGTTTCCGTCCTCCTGCCAGCCCTCTGGTTTGGGGCCTACATTCTCTCTAGAACAGTGTTTTTCAACCTTTTTTGTGCAAAGGCACACTTTTTTCATGAAAACAATCACGAGGCACACCACCATTAGAAAATGTTAAAAAAAATTAACTCTGTGCCTATATTGACTATAGCAGTTAGCAATAGCAGTTAGACTTATATACCGCTTCATAGGGCTTTCAGCCCTCTCTAAGCGGCTTANACTGTCCAAGTGGAGTCCAGGTCCGTCCGAATCCGAGCGACTTTATCCGACAGAACCCGAACAAATTCCTCAGCTCTACCCTGTAAGGGCTCGCCCGCATCCCTCCCTTTCAGGAGGGAACGGGTTATCCTAAACAGGGTGGCTGGGCGAGATTCTGCGGATGCAATAAGAGCAGAAAAATGAGCACATTTTGCTGCCCGTATCACCACTAGATAAGTCCTAATAAAGGCTCTTAATATTGATGCTCTTTGGAATAATCATGTCTGCAACTTGGAAGAAGATGGTTCACCCATGCCTTCCTCTTTGAAGAGCAACATATGTCATTCCTGCCATTCTTGCTGCCTAGAGTAGACACTTAGCCAGGAGCAGCCCTAGAAGTCAAAAATAATTACTTTCAGGTTAGAAGGGGAGCTGTCCAGCAGGAAGCTAATTGGGAAAATCAATTTTATAAGGGCTTGATTCCAACAGAGCAAATGCCGTTCCTTCCCAGCTTGACACAATGGCTCTGATCCAGAACATTCTTTCTTTTGAAAGTAAGTTTCAAAGGTAGTATCTGCTGAAGTGGTGGAATTCTTGGACAGGATCAACATTTTCCAACTCCTTTTGATCTAGTTTAGGGTTCCTCCTCCAAGGTAGCCACCATTCCCAGATGATTTGGCCAGTGGTGGGTTGCCAATTTTTTTTACTACCGGTTCAGGTGTGCTTGCACATGCACTCATACGTGTGACACTTCTGCACATGCACAGAAGCATCCAGGTGGGTGGGCAGAGTCTCCCGTCACCGCTACTACCGGTTCACTCAATCCAGGCCGAACCGGGAGCAACCCACCTCTGGATTTGGCCAGGACAGTAACAAACTACTATAGCCAAGCGTTTATAAATACAGAAGTTATTTCTTGGTCCTAGCCAAAACAAGTTTTGGTAATGCTGGCATGGAGTTCTGAGAGTTATAATCCCAAAATTTAGAAAGCATCAATTCTTGGAAGGCTAAATTAGGTCTGCATGTGCTTACACAAAAGGAGAGAAAGAGAGGGAGTGAGGGAGAGAGAATTAAATGGCAGTATTTTTAATCCAAGTTGAAATAACAAACAAACACATTGAGTCAGCCAAAAATCTACTAGTATTCCCACAAAGCAGCAATATTTGCTTCTAATCCATTCCTTCATTCTTGACTGAAAAAAGATATCTTATCTCCAATCTAAAAACCCAAAGGAGAGTTTATAGCTAATATGATTCTTTCACAAGTGCTTTCAATCAGATTATTCCTCTAATATCTGATTCACAGATAAGAAGGAAGTAAAAAAAAAAACAAGTCTTGTATAATTAGAAACATTCCTTCAGAGGAAAGATATAATTCAGATGGTGCAGAAGATAAACATTGATTCAAGAGTGGATTTTTCCTCCCAGCTCTCCTTCCCTCAAAAATAAAGGGGGGGAGGGCATCCTGAGAGATAAGGATTCTTTTTGCTGCTGTTGATAAAAACAATCTAAGCAGATGTTGGGGGGTGGGAAGCCATAAAAAAGATCATCTCAGCTAAACCAGCTGTTGGGATAAGTTTAACTGCTCACTTCAGATGCTGCATTTTCTCCAAGCCATTTGCAGATGCAGAAAACAGAGAAAGCACACAAGGCATAAAATAGTCAAAGTAGGAGCTTTTGACACTCATTTCCCCCCTCCCTCCCTCTCACTCACTCACCCACAAATGCACACATAGGAGAAGGAGGAGGATGGAGGGGAGGAGAGCGAAAAGTGAGCTCACATTCTCACATTGGTAAAGAGGCTGGTCTTGCAGTGCCTTTGAATATTCTACTTTTTGCCAGTTTCTCTTCCGAGTCATGCAGACACACACATGCTGAGCTGAAGGAAACCACAGCAATGGACTGCTCTAGAAGATCTGAAATCTGATCACACACCATCTCCCTCCCTAATTACCTCTATTACATACCTCGGTCTGTCTATATAGGAAGCCACTCAGACCCAGGGAAGAAGGCAAGGGCAGTGTCAGCCACTCCATCACAACCCAACAGAGCACCTTATCTCTTCTTGCTGGACACACACACACACACACACACACGCACACGCACACACACACACACACACACACACAAACAAACAAACAAGACAAAACCCACAGAGCAACAGACTCACACGTCTTTTTAATCTCTTGGCTTCCTTGGAAGATTTTTGCTGGCTGTTTTTCATGGAGAAAGTCCAAGGAGAAATGGAGATTGAGAGATGGGAAAGAAACGAAGAACTGTCAGATGCCGAAAGGAAGATGATCCAAGAGACCTGGAACAGAGTCTATGTGAACTGCGAAGATGTTGGGGTCTCCATTCTGATCAGGTATTTACAATGACCACAAGAAGCCAAATTCTGGTTCCAGGGACAGGGTGGGAAGCTAGTAACTGTTTCCCTCGGCGGATTAGCTGTGATTGGGAATTATTGCATTGCATTTCGATTTTCAACAGTTTGAGTAGCAGAGGGAGGGATATGTTCTGTGTAGCTTAGTTGGTGGCAATCAATATTTCAGCTAGGAAGGTCATCTCAATCTTTGTGTACAACTGGGGGATTTAGCAGGAAGGGATGGTTTTGGCTTAGCTCTTTGCTGATAGAAAAAGATATACATCATACTTCTGGGTGAAACACTGCAACTTACGAGCCAAGATAAATCCAAGCAGGGCTGCTGAAGCTTGTTGGCACCATCTGCTCCTCAGTTGGGTGGCTGTATCAATGTAAAATATGAGGCTGAAGTTGTCTCTTGAGTCTGCCGTGAAGGTTAATAGCCAGGGGGTTGGTGTAAGGGAGGCAAACTGGTGACAGGTAAAGGATAATTGGATGCTTCACTCTGCTGGAAAGCTCTTGGCAAAATTGCCAGAGGGCCGTGGGTAGGGAGGGTTATAGGGAATCTTAAGGAAGCCCGTGGCTAAGTTTACACATGGCACTGAGCAATAATGTGGCTTGTTTCGCTTTGGCATAGTTCAGAGTACAAACCCAGCCTTTGTGGCTCGAAAACCATGATTTCTGACTTTGCATGTTGCATGGCTTGCTTAAAAAAAAATCATGATTCAAACCGTGGATTACTGCGATGTGTGAATGTAGCCTGTGTATTTATATGTCACTAGATAAGTGAAATAGAAAGCTGCTTTAAACTAAGGTGCCCTATGAATAGGACAATTCTCCAGACTAATTTATTTTTCTATAGCCTACCGGATCCTAGGTACTTTACTGGGCTCCACGCACTACAAATAATCCTTTGAAATACCCTGTGTGCAATGGCCATGTCCCTGTCAAAATTACCTTGAGAATTATTTCAAAATCTGACCTTGTTTCATGTTAACTCCTGCAGACTCTTTTGGAGATGTGTGGAAGGCATTCTTTTTACATGGGTAAAAGGAGTTTTTCTCTCTCTCTAAATCAAGGTAAAAAGAACTATGCAAAGAGAAAAAGACCAGGCTTGAAAGAAATAGTCACTGAACTGATCTGGATTTGAAACTACCAACCATAAATTAGGTTTGGTTCGGTAGAGTGGGATTTGGACAGGAAAAACACATTTCCAATGTTATTGCTCCTATTTAATCCAAGGCCTCCAACAATTCCCATTTTTTAAAGTTTAAATAAACCTTAGGAACTCCAGTCGTAGCTTTCCGCTATTATACAAAGTTTGACATAGAGACTATGTAAACTGGCATTCAAAAAGAAGTAAGATTCTTTCATTTATTTAACAAGCATATTCTCCAACAAACTGTTATGTCAGTTTATAGCAACTTCTCAGAGTTCTGAGGGGGGAAAATATCCTGCAATCCAAGAACATCCAGTTGGACTAGAGAGTAGAGAAGATTTTGGATTTTGCAGCAATGAGGACATTCACAAATGTACTATGGTGGTATCTTCCCAGTTTTTCTTAAAGTTTCCCATCAGTTTTTCTGTGGAAAATTATACTGGTTTTGTTTTTCAGAAATTTCCCAAGAACTAATTGTTTGAAAGCTGTTTAATGCAAATCCCATTGTCCCAGGGGGACAAAAGCAGGATTGTCAGTTGCATCATTAGATATGCTTTCAAGTAGATTCTTTCTGGGGTGGGGTGGGGGGAATTGGAAGAATTCATTTTCTTACAGATCTTCTGCTTTCTGGGGGGAAAAAAATCTGAGGAATTTAACTTAAACCCAAGATGTTTCATTCATGATTATATTAAAATATGTTCTTTTGAGTGGGGAGGGGAGACCTATTCCTTTTTTAAAAATGCTTCTTCTATTCATTCTACAAAACATATTGAACATCCCTTGTGAGAATGCTAAGATTTGCAATCTTAACTAAGGTGAGGTAAGACAACATGTATTCCAGGGTATCCCTCAAACTTTAATCAGATGATCAGAATACTCAGAAAAGGAATCAACAGCCCACAAATGAACCTCTTGATTTCCCACCAAATGACTTTCCCCCCCCCCCAATTGAATGGAACTTTTCTTATTTTATTCTTGAGTAGGAAATCGGGGTAAATAATCTATCAGGGTAATTTTGTGGTGATTTTAATTTTAATTCCCGCATGCTGAATGATGAAGATCGTGCAAGGGAATAACCTTGGCCCTGAATTTCAGATCACGGTTCCATTTGTTTTTCTTGACTTGAATGTACGAAACTGTACATTTTTCCATATATCTTCTATGTTCCTTAATAATCTCTGATTAAATTATTCTTTTCATAAGAATCACTTTATTGTTATTTGGAGATGTACTTAGCTGGTATACATAGCTGCATAAACATATCTGTGTATATATACACAGAGAGAAGCTGACATTGTATTTACCAGGTAGAAGTACCCATTCAACTGGGTCAAAAAAGCAAAACTTGTTATAGTATAAAGAGCCACAGTGTTATATGATACCATTCTTCATAAAATATGAACTTTAGGAAGCTGGAACAAAATTAAACTTCTTACACAGAGATATACCTCATAATAATGGAAAAATTTCAAAGATAACTTGTACAGTTATCTAATTTTTCTATTTCATAGAACATGACAATCTCCCATGATTATCTTTTGATCCATAAAGTACCAGAATTCTGATTTCTATATTTCTGTCAAACATTTGGTTTCCACCGAACCAAAGATCAAGACAGATTGTACAAAATGGAACTGGCAGGTCAGCATCACTCTATGGCACGACAGGCTGAAGTTAAAAAGAAAGGAGAATGAATAAAACAAAACTAAACAAAATGCTCTCTGGAGATGGTATAAAATTTATTCAGATTACGTCTTTGCTATGTGTCTTGGACAATAAGAGAGAATGAACTTTGCTGTCCTGTTAACATGGCCATCAATTCAGTTTTAAGGTTCTAAATCACAGGTGTCAAACCTGAGCAACTTTAAAACTTCTGGACTTCAACTCCCAGAATTCATTAGCCAGGCAGACAGACATTTATATTCTAAATGAATAGTGGAAATAACACAAGAGAAGTAGAAAAGCTGTCTTTCTGTTTTCAGACTTTTCTGTTTTCCCTTTGTATGGGAGAGCAGATGTCAAGAAGAATGTCCGCAGGGGACCAGAAATCTCTTTGCTTTTCTGAATTATTTTTGCCCGCACAGAAGTCTTTTGCATTCACACAAACACACACACACATTTTCTGCAAATGACTGGCATAGTACATGTGTGTCAATCCTTTAAATATGCAAATATGCATGCCAATATTCTGCCTGTACCACTATTGCCATTCAATTGTACTACCTTGGTGTGAAACATAAGCTCATTTAGAGAAGGGGAAGAAGAGCAACATTATTTCATCAAGTACATGTACCTCATTTGTTCTGGAAAGTGCCAATTATAGCTCAGAAGAAATTTATTTATTTGTTTGTAATGTCTATTAAGCTTTGCCCATATATATCCCAATTCAATTCTGACCATGTGTAGATACATTAGACAAACTGAGCTATTTGTGCACCAGTAAAACAAAACCTCACTGGGACTAATGCAGAAATGAGCATTTGTATTCAAATCCCCGATTGCCTTTGGTTTTTATTCCTTCTCTTTTGACTTCTCTTGAACAAGACTTTATACCTCAATCTGGCTTCTACTTATCTCCCCTCTGCACTTACTTCCACCTGAAAACTGATATAAAGAATATTTGGATTGGAATAAGTATCCATTCCAGCAGCTAAAAAATATCTTGTTTAAAAAGAAACTGGCAAATTTCTGTGGCATCAGTGACATGATTTGTCTGCCAATCCAAGCCATCACAATAGAATATAGGGATAGATTACAGTGCACAGTTATGAAGAACTGGCCCTGAATTCATTCTGTGCATGTACACAGTGACTGCAAAGTCATTACTCAGTGAAGGATGTCAAGGGCGGGCAGGAGGGAAAATGATAGAATCACTCCAGGAGTAGCAAAGAAGCCAGTACATAGAAAAACACCAGAGATTACCCTGTTTCTTACAGCCTGCAAGCCATGCTGAAATTAATTTCTAAGCAGGGCTCCAGAGTAGCCTGGAAAGATAAATGCTGTTTGGATTTTGCCCACCAGATCTAAGCATGACAGATAAGCAGGCAAAGGTGGGAGGGAAAGAAGAAACACTGAATCTGAATAAGCTGCCCTTCGTTGAGATTTCTGAAATACAAATTTGACATTTTTTAAAAGAAACCTTCACACACACACACACACACACACACATCAAGCAGCTCAATGGTATCTTTACCTTTACCTCACACACAAACACACACATGCAAACATACTAAAAATAATTTTGAAAGTTAGCCACGCTATCGCTGGCTCTTTGTGCCAACAAGAAAACAGTTGCTAACCAGACTTCAGTATTGAAGGAAGTATAAAGTATTCAGAAGAATATTCTGCTACCGGGGTTTTTTG